GCTCGAATACCCTTGTGCCAGGGTTAGGGCCCGAGCCTAATTTTTTGGCCTATGGGCCTGCCCGGGAAAGGCTCTTTTGGGCCCAGGCTCGAGCCTAGTCCGAGACCCTAGGCTAGGGCCTGGGCCATCACTTTGAAGCCCGGCCTGGCCCATCAGCCCGGTTAAGGCCCATTCAAGGCTCGGTCCGAGGCTCGTCCCGCGCCGAAGCCTAGTGTCTTTTTTTGTGAAAAATAATAAAATTTTGGTAGAAAAAATTAAAAAGAAATAATAAAAAAATGGCCAGGCCCGCCCCGAGCCGCCCATGAGTCGTGGGCAAGTTTCGGGCAGCCACGAGGCACGGGCTAATTTTACACTCTTATCAATGTGAATGTTAACATGTCAATGTGAATATTCACATTGTCAACAGGCCGGGCCCGTTGGCCAATTTTATACTCTTATCAATGTGAATGTTAACATGTCAATGTGAATATTCATATTGTCAACAGGTTGGGTCGGGCCCGCCCTGGGCCGCCCACGGGCTGTGGGCTGGTTTCGAGCAACCACGAGACGCGGGCTAATTTTACACTCCTATCAATGTGAATGTTAACATGTCAATGTGAATATTCGCATTGTCAACGGGCCGGGCCGGGCCCGCAACGGGCCATAAGCCGCCCATGGGCCGCGACCCAATTTTATACGCTTATCAATGTGAATGTTAATGTGCCAATGTGAATATTCACATTGTCAACGGGCCGGACCGGGCCCGCGCCGGGCCACCCATAGGCCGTGGGCGGGTTTCGCGCCGCCACAGGACGCGGGCCAATTTTACACTTCTATTAATGTAGATGTTAACATGTCAATGTGAATATTCACATTGTCAATGGGCCGGGCCCGCCCCGGTCCGACTCGAATTTTTCCAGGCACCCACGAGGATCGACATGGGCCGAGCCCCTACACATTGACGATATGAACATTCACATTGACGGTGTGAACATTCACATTAGGGATATTTTGGTAATTATGTCACCCATAGGACTTATTGAAACATAAGAAAATAATGTGAACTAAATAGAACATAAGTAGATGAAAATGGTATTTTGGTCTGCTTATCTCAAATAGGACCTAATGGAATAGTCAAAAAGAATATGAATTTGATGGAATAAAGCTCTTAGAAAGTGGATTTATCAAAAAAGTTTCCTAAATTATATTCATTTTTTTTTATAGTAAATTTTATAATTTTGACATATTTATATTGATTTTTTTAGTAGAACTAAATAAATCAGAATTAATATGAACAGTGTGAATACACAAAGAAAATTAAGATAAAATATATATTTAAATGTAAAATAAATGATGATATTATTTTTTCTTCCATATGGACAAGGAATTATCGATAAAAGAGAGTTTAGAATTATATGAATCAAGACTTTAAATGAACCCAAGGTAATTATATTAATTTTTTGAAATTTACTATGCTTGGTTATCATTTTTTAAAAATACTTTTCAGAAAATTCTACTTTCTTATTTTCAGTGTTTTTTTTGTTTTTACTGAATTTTTTTAATATTTTGAGCAAATTTTTTAATTTTTAGACATACTTAACATAAATATACCTAAAAAGTAAAAAAAAAATTTGAAAAAAACCTTTTAAAAATTCACTAAATACCAAAAATAAAAAAAAAAGAGAATTCAGTACATTTTTTGTATTTTTATGTATTTATTAATTTTTAAAAATATTTTTTCACAAATTTTTTACTTTTTAGATACATCTAAGTAAGATGCATCTAAAAACATAAAAAAATATTTAAAAATTTAAAAATATTCACTAAAAACAAAAAAAACACGAAAATAAAAAAACTCAGTTTTCAAAAAATTTAATTCAAAAAACCCAAACCAAACACACTGATTGCATTTTTTTTTTTCAAATATCATGGTCAGTGCAATTTACAACATTAATAAATATACCAATGTTATGTCAACTAGAGGTCTCTAATAGGTAAGCCTCGTGTCTAGGGAGCTATATTTATGTGTTGGGTGATGGGGAGACAACATGGGAGGCCATGATGTTTGTGATTGGTTGAAAGCACCATGTGGCATGCTACATGGTACCCTATCTGCACCTAAGAATTTTTCGAGATGGAGGGATGGAATGGAGAGATTGCAAAAATGCAAGTGCTATGAAATGACAAGAGATAAGCTAGGATGGTCGAAAGAGGATGGGAATTGGATTGGTCACGATTGTAAAGGGTTGGAGAATAGGTGCTGCAACTGTTGAAAGGAGGCACTAGTGAAAAATGAGGTTTACAAAAAGAAGACAAAGAGAACATAGAAATGAGGGAGAAGAGAGGAGAGAAAGGAAAATGATAGTATTGTAATTTTATAATAGATTCCTTGTTATTTATGAGATAATTTTGTTTCCACACATTAAATCCTTCCAATGGGCATCTTTTTCTCAAGACACACACTTAGGTCTCGTTTGGCAATTCACTGTTTTAGTCTAAAAGTCAAAAAATTACTAAAAAAAACTTCAAAGTCAACAATTTATACAAAAGGTTAAAGATTTCCTTTTTTCTCTACCTTTTGCACATTTTTTTTTTGTAAAAAATCAAACAGTCATTCTAAATATACTAATTTTTTTACCTCATATTTTAACCAAAAGACTAAAAAGTTATTAAAGTAGTATGTTCCCAAACGAGACCTTAATAAATTTGAAATTCTATGTTTTGTTCAGTACACATCTTAACGTACCAAAAGTACCGTCATCTTCTTCATCATTTAAACCCTAACCTTATCCACTAATCCTTATCTTCTTCATTTATCATCAGCCAACTACTAACTCCTCTTCTTGAAACTTGTACTATTGTTGCGACTTCCATCCTTCTACCATCATCAATCGCCATTACCAATCCATCTACTCCCTAACATCTAATTTCATTGCCCACCATTTCTTTCTAAACCCTAGGCACCATGCCCGATATCCACACTGCTCCATCATCTAAAAATATGGGATTTTGCAAGGTCAGAGTAAGAGAAGAATGATACTAGAAAAAGAAATTAGAAAAGATGGTGTCAAAGAAGGAGTAAGGCTAAGTTTGGCATCTTAAAAAAAAATCAAAAAGTCACTATTCTATTTAAGTCACATCATCTTATTTAAGTCACATCACCTCTCTACCACATCACTTCAAACTCAACCCATATTTCATAAAAAGTCAAAAAGTGCACTTATTTAAAACATCCCAAACAACCCTTAAAGGAGGTCAGCACGACCAAGAGAATGGTAAGAAATTAAGCTTAGGAATTAAAGTTTTTTTTAGGGTAAATTACAAACAAATCTCCTGAAGTTTACTTAAATTACAAATTATACTCTTGCAGTTTTAGAAATTACATTATGCCCCCTGAGATTTTTAATTTCATAACAAATATGTCATTTTATTAATAAATCATCAAGTTAATTAACAGTTTTTAATAATGTTAAAATTTTATTTCAATTAATAATTTAAATAATTTTATTATTGTATAGGTGTATAGTTAGAAATTTCACTTTTTCAATTAATTTTGTTAAATAAAAAATTCTGACATGGAGGTATTTGTAATTTTCCAAACCACAATCGCAATTCGTATTTTAAGCAAATATCGGGGAGTATATTTGTAATTTACCATTTTTTTATTAGAAAGATAAAGTTATTTTGATAATTTTATTTTAGCATGAAATTATAATAAAAAAATATTTATTAACAATATGCACAGAAATGACCTAGATGTAAAAATAGAATTATTCATTTTTATGAATGGTTTGGGAAGTGGATTAGGTTTTTGACTTTCTTTGCTATTTTAACCTGGGACTAAAATGGTTGGTTTGGGAAGGATTTTTGACTTTTTTGGATTTTTTGATTTTTTTGTGAGAGAAAGAATATAATGATTAGGAATTGAATGTCATGTATTATCTTATTAGTTTAAAAAACCTATTATATTTTTTTTATAACTATTTTAGCCAAAAATCCCCCAAACCCTCTTCCCAAACCATGTCATAATCACTTCTTTTCTTTCATTAAATTGTAAATTATTTTGGGTTGATTTTTTGTTTTTTTTGCAATTGTCCTCAAAAATATTTTTTGTTCAAAACCCCCGCCCTCCCCCAAAAAACAAATGGTAATTCACAGTTGAAAACTAGGGGTGGTCGGTTTGGTTGCAGTAAGAGAATCTTTAATCAGTCATTTGTCTGTTGAATTGACGTATTGAGATCTGTTTGTCAAATTGGCGAATATAGATTGAGTAGATTGGCAGATGGATGCAAATCGGTTGGGAAATTTAAACTTTACAAATTTTAAACATAATACAACAATTTGTTAATATTTTTTTTTTTGATAACAATCCAACTCAAAATAACCAAAAAATTATCAAGTAAATTGTCAAATATCAATAATAAATAGATATAGGAAACTCATGCATTATCAAAACTATTTTATTACTTTTTTTATTCAAAAATTATTTAATTTGATTTTTTTTAAATGACAAAATTAAGCCTTATATTTTCTATATAAAAATATCAAATATCAACCATTATCATTTGATAAAAGGATTTCTAAATCAAAAATAAATTGAAAATATAACAGAATATCTAAACTATTTTTTAATTAAAACTACAAACAAAATATTTAAATAAATTAAAAATATAAAATCTTACAAATTATTAAAAGACTCATGATTTGACGATTCAATTACAGTCAAAGAAATCTTAAATTCACCATCCATTTAGCAAATTAAAAAAAGAAAAAATTACCAATAGGTCCTACTTTTGAGACTTTATTACCTGTTAAGTCCTATTGATAAATTTATTATTTTTATAAATAAATTTATAATGATAAATTTATCAATTAAAACTTATAAATAAATAAATTTAATTAATGAAACTAATTGATAAATACCTTTTAAAAAAATTAATCCGTAACTATTTATTCGTCATCACACGTCTATTCAAAATACAACATCGATTGATTCCATCAATTTAAACGAATCGGAAACCACCACTATTAAAAAGTGCATAATACAGAGCTCTATCTATCCAGATTGCCTTGCCTCTCTCTCTCTCTCTCTCTCCTGTGTAAACTCCTCTTACCTACCTTCAAACCTTTCCAAGGCCGGAAAATCTCAGAGAGAGAGAGAGAGGGGGGAGAGAGAGACGATGGAGAGACTTATCTACTCAAACCCTATCCCATCCAAACTCCACCGAAAGCCCTTCTCTCCTAATCTCCCTCGACTCGCCCGAGTTGACGCCGCAAGACTTGATCTTCCGTCGCCGTCACGCACCGAGTCCCGGTGGGTCGCCTCGCTCTCTCGAAAAAACAAAACTAAATTCCCTGTTAAATACTTGATCTCATCTTCCCTCGTAGATTCACCAGATGGGTCGAAGCCTAAACCCCATTTTCTCAAACAAATTGTGGAAAGATCTTCTCAGCCACCAAAGGTATGAAATTTCATGCAATTGAATGTATTTTCTTAGCATTTTGTTTTGTGGGTATTTTGTGTTACTGCTATGAAAATGAAATTGAGGGTTCTTGTTGTGTGTTGTTGAGGTGCATTTGTTTCAATTTGAATTTTTTGCTCTATTTTCTTACCATATATATATATACACACACTAGCGTATAAATAATGTTGATATTAGAATATAATTGTTATCCCAACACTATTTAATAAATTATAAATTATCAATTATTAATTTAATATAATTGTAATCCCAACACTTCTTGTCTTAAAAATAAATTATCAATTATAGAGATGAAATTATGCCTTCAACCTGAAAATTCCTGTTTCCATACCAAGAAAATGGCATAGGCAAACAACCATTATTGAGCTTTGGTGACCCACCATGAAACAAACTCAAAAACATCTATCTAAGTTCACAGAAGGTGTGGGAGTTTCCAATCAAATGTAGGATTTGAAATTAAACTTTATAAGAACATAGGTAAGTTTTCAAATGAAATTCAATTAAGGCTCAAATAATTTTACTTTAGTTTAATTACGTGTTTTTGCGATCTTTAAGTTGTTGTTTTGTTCTTTCATTTACAGTCAACAATAAAGCAAAAAGTTTTGCAAGCAAGTAAAGAACAAAGTTTTCCAACAATCAAAGCACATCCAAACTCAATGTTTGAACTTTCAAGGAAGGAGAAAAAAAGAAGCTTGAAAACAAAAACCTATTTGATAAATTTTTGGCAAATTTTCTACAGGCTTAAAAGTCTAGAAATAAAACGTCCACTGTTTAATTGAGATTGAGATGGGCTCAATTGCAAAATACATTATTATTAACTCCAAAATTGGACATATCTCTATAAAGTTACATGTCAAATAGAAAGCTGACTATTACAAAAGAGAAGCACTGTGTGATGTACATGAAATCTTAAATGTAATACAAAATATTATCAACCAACAAATCCTTCAGGATTCAGAATTCAAACAACAAATCCAAACAACATAATCAACCAACAACAAGGATCAAGAGCAGAGATAGGGAAATTCAAGAGACAATGTAAAATACCTCTATTTTGGTGTTGAACAATGGGTCTTGAAGCCACTGTTGGGAAATTAAAAAACATCAAAAAAAAATTTGAGTTATTGACATAGAATGGTAAAGCTAAAGGAGCCTCAAAAAGGTCTATTAGTGTGTCTTCAATCTGGGACTCCTTTGCATTATATATAGGACAATCAGTAGTGATGGGTCATCACTCATGTCCATCTATGTGTGTCCGTCTCTCAACTCACCCTTTGCCTTCTTCTATGCAAACATTTCAACTGTCATATTTGTAATCTCTCAATCTCCTCTTCTGCGTATCTTTGCTATTTTCATCTTACCCCTTCAAATGCCAACCACCAATCTTATCATTCTCTGTAATAATTTTTAGCATAATAATCTTGTAATTTAAACATCTAATTGATTGTCTTTTGGGGTTTGAACTATCATTAAATCACCCATGCAAAATTATTATACATTTTTTGTGTGTGCATAGAATCCTAGTATCTATATATACACACACAGTGAATACATTGCTTGATTATTCACGATGACTTCAAATGAGGGCACGTCGAAAGATTGTTCACTAAATAATTTGACCATTTCTATAATGGAAGCGCGATAGGTTGTAAATTAGAGGATGATTAGTCAGTTGCAGATTTCTGCATGGCAAAGCATGGGGTTGCCGAACCAAAAAAAATATTGCATATGAAAGAGAGAAAAAAAGGTAAGTATGTGCATGTTTGATTAGCAAGCCACAAAATTAAATACAGAGACACAGTTAGCAGAATTACTATTAAAGGGTTTTGACACATATGTATACAACTAAACAATGATGAGCTTGGAATGTGTCCTATGCATTCACAAACACTGGAATGTAGCCCATGCATTAATAGAGAGAGAAGACCGTCAAGAAAAGTTTATGGGATGAAAAGTTTCTACAGCAAGAAAAGGTTCTGGGCTGATAAGAAAAAAATAAAATATTACCTGGGTTTCTTTGTAAGGCTATGTGCTTTGTTGCAGAGGAGGGGCTTTGTTTGGAGTTTCAAATCCTTAGACTATATCACATTTACACAAATAGATTATCGTATCAAAATCCAAATAAAAATGCTAGATTCTCCCACCCTCACATTTACACAAATCATATCACATTTTACACAAATAGAAAACGCAAATAAAACTCCTTGATTCTCACACCCTCTTCCAAAAAAAACCTAACCCAACATGGTACAAATGAAAATACAACGGAACAATAACGAAAGAGGGGAAAAAAAAGTGAGAATTTAACCTTCTACCTTGGAGCTGTGTGAATTGAGCTGTATAAAGGAAAGTTGGATGGTGCTATTGTGGTAGAGAGAGTAAGCTTGGGAAGAGGAAGAGGTGTGGTGAGAATGAGAGGAAGAGGTGTGAGAGAGAATGAAGTTTCAAATTTTGAAATCAAAATGAGGGTGAAAGAGAGAAGATGACTGTGACATGTGAGAGTTGAGGTGTGTTTGAGATGTGAGAGACATGAGAGTTGGGTGGGAACCCAAAAAGCTAAATCTAGACCATTCAAACTGAATAAAACTGATCTCAACCATTGAAATGTCCCAATAAAACTCTTCTCAACTGTATTGAGGCTCTATTTGAAAATTGCTAACTTAGTTATTTTTCTAATTTTTTACCCCAAAAAAAATCTATAAAAAAATGATAAAATATTTTATAGTGATTTTAAAATTTTTAATTAGAAATTATAATTCCGAAACAGACTTTAAATTTTTTATTTTTTTACACACCCACCCCAAAGAGCTAAAGGGCCGAGTCGACTCAATTTTTTTTCACTCTCATTCAAACCATAATTAAACGGGTTGCAAATCATAATTCAATTAGAAGCGGGCGAGTTTTTTTTTCATCCGATCTTGTCAAGTCAATTGACCAATTGATGGTAAAATTGAGCCTCAACTTGTGAACTATACATAACATAATACTATCTTAATTAAAAAAATGTTACATGAATCATCCAAAAGCACACAACATAGAAGAACCAAAGTAATGAAACTCAAGAATCTCAAAACTCAAAAACAGGTTCTAATTGCTTCTTTGAAATCAATGTTAATGGGAAAATCTAACTAAAATTAAACCCAAGGTTCATTAAATAAAATTAACTGTACTATTTTTTTAAACAAAGATTACAACCAAATACTTAAGTATACATCCACATATATGAATGTTTCATAAGGGTAAAGTTTTGTCAAGATTTGGGGTTAGCAGTTCAGATTATACAGAATTAGAAGTGAGCAACCAAACAAATCCCTAAGAAGTGAGGCAGTGACTTGAAGAATAAAAAAAGGTATCTAACAAATTGCTATCAAAATGGTGGGTTTTCTTACCTATCAAAATGATGTTGAGGTTTTCATTTTCTAGAGTTCCAAGAATTAAAAATCCATAATACCTTTTGTGGGTAACAAATCAGAGCAGAAAGAAAAGGAGAAAGAGATTACCTTGGTGAGAATCAGTTTAGTTCCTGTTCTGGAGTTGGAAATTTCTGTTTGGTAACTGGTAAAAATAATGAAATCAAAAATGAAAGAGGAGCGAGGAATTTCAGAAATTAACAATTGTATATTGCAATGAGAGGAAAGAAAAATTTATATAATATCTTAAAATAGGTAAAACAATTCACACCTTAATTAAAAAATAGAAAATAAATAAACCTCTATCATTAAAACAGGTAAAACAATCAAACAATAGATCATTGAAAAAGAAAACTCTTCTATCATTAAAACAGACATTGCAAAATCAATAAAACATTGTGAAGAGGAAATAAATTTTTTTATAATATCTCCTCTATGACATGAAAATATTACTTCAAACCCCAATGACAACATTTTGAGATTAATGTTGGGATGACAGTCGCTATAAAATTGATGTTGGGATTAATCTAAGATTAATCCCAACATCTCCAAACATTTTGTCCCAAGATTAATCCCAAGATTAATGTTGGGATGACACTGTATACCCGTAATAAAATTGGACAGGAGAAGATTGGATAGGAGAAGATTAATCCCAAGATTATTTCTCCTTTAGCAATGAGAGGAAAGAAAAATTTATATAATATCTTAAAACAGGTAAAACAATTCACACCTTAATTAAAAAAATAGAAAATAAATAAACTTCTATCATTAAAATAGGTAAAACAATCAAAAAATAGATCATTGAAAAAGAAAACTTTTCTATCATTAAAACAAACATTGCAAAATCAATAAAACATCGTGAAGAGGAAAAAAAAATTTATATAATATTTTCTCTATGACATGAAAATATTACTTCAAACCCCAATGACAACATTTTGATTTTAATGTTGGGATGACAGTTGCTATAAAATTGATGTTGAGATTAATCCCGAGATCTCCAAACATTGTCCCAAGATTAATGTTGGGATGACAGTGTATACCCATAATAAAATTGGACAGGAGAAGATTGGACAGGAGAAGATTAATCCCAAGATTATTTGTCCTTTATTTTGTACTTTTGTAATTTTTATTTACACCGTGCCTTTATTTTAAAAATGAATTTTCAATTTATTTTATTTTATTTTATCCCAAGATTAATCCCAATATCTCCAAACATTTTGAGATGACAGTTACTATAAAATTGAAGATGCAATATTTTTGTCCAAGCATTATAATGCTATACACAATGGATGTCATCAAAATTTGATCACTTCTTCCCTGTGGTTTCGGTAGCGGCAAAAGTAAAAACAACGGATTAAGGCAAGAGCAGAGAAAAGGAAAAAAAAAATGTGAACACAGTCTACACAGTTTAGACATTCAAAAATCAAAACACATTTAGAAATGAAACCCATTTCACATTTTAGAAATAAAAAATGTTTAATTTTTCCAACACAAACACAAATACAATTTCAATTTAGAACTTTGTATATATTATTCTTCATTAAGCTAATAATATGTTACTTGTAGATTAATGAGGGAAAAAACATCTAAAATGCAGATATCAAAATCTAAAATCAAAATTGGAATTCGAAAATAACTTCATAATTGAAACAATAAACGATGGGGGAAAAAATTAAAAATTAAAAATTAAAAATCATACTAATGGAGAATTCTAAGAAAATAAAAAGGCCTTCGCTCATGAGATTAATTAAAGCTTGAATAATATGATATTACAAATTCTAACCAATTAAGTCATGAATTTCAAAATCAATTAATTGAAAAAAATTCAAATCCTAACAATTAACAGAATAAAAATTTAAAGCCACGGTTGTCTAACTTGACTATACAAATCCTAACTATTAACACATTCATTCATCAAATGAATTTGTAGGTATGATTTTTTTTTATTTCATCATTAACACATGACACATGGCCAAAAAAATAAAAAATAAAAAAGTATTTTTATTGTGTTCAATCATGTACTTACAAATCATACCTATAACAAGCATGATGGATGATAATTTCCTACAAATCAAAATAGTTTATGGATGAAATCACAACCACTCCAACCACAGAGGATATCAATCATATACCTACAAATCAACAATTTTATGGGAAGAAGAATACCATGGTTGCAATAAGAGCAATAAATTTCTAGTTGAAAGTAGAAATCAAACACATAAGAATACTATGTAATCCTCTTTATCATCAAATATTGTTTCATATTTGTGTGGGTGTGTTTTGAGTTATTGACTCCTAATATTATTGTTTCATGCAAATTTAACTAAACCCATCAAATCCATTTCAAATTATTAGAAATCAAAACCCATCAAACCTATTTCAGAAATCACAACCACTCCAACCACTACAAATTAAAATAGTTTACACCAACTTAAAGTTAGAGACTTAAAGTTTCACCATCTCTCTGCGTTTACTTTGGGATGACAAATTATTAGAAATCCATTTAACTTCGAATTTCTATGAATTAAACCCATCAAATCCATTTCAAATTTCAGAAATCAAAACCCGTCAAACCCATTTCAGAAATCACAACCACTCCAACCACAACAAATTAAAATAGTTTACACCAAATTAAAGTTGGAGACTTATAGTTTCACCATCTCTCTGTGTTTGCTTTGGGAAGACATGGTGACGGCGGAGGACGATCTGAGATCTGGGAGGGAGAGGAGATGAAGAGTGGCTGTCGATGGAGATCGGAGGTGGCGCAACGGTGGAAGCGGAGCAGCAGTAGAGAGGAGGGAGAGGAAGAGAGAGAGAGCTCTGAGTAGAGAGAGATTGAGACCTAAGAAGTTGGAGAGAGAGAGAGAGAGTGTGCAAATAATGTTTGGGTGCAGGTGATAGAGGATTGTTTTGGGCGGGACGTTGAAAATATCACAATGCATCTTAGCCCTTAATGGTTAAAAACAACTCATCTCAGCCGTTAAATTGAAATGTATCTTTGATACATTTTCACACAAATTCAAAAACCTTTCTCCCTTATTATATATATATATATATATATTTGTTGTTGTGTTACTGATGGGGAATTGGGGGTTCTTGCTGTGTGTTGTTGGGTTGGGGTGCATTTGTTTCAATTTGAATTTATTGCTCTTTCCTCTTACAATTTACTGGTTTTCATCATTGGTTTTTCTATGGATGTATCAACATGAAACTTACTGAAATCCTAGCTTTGAGTCCTTGGATCTTTGTTCTTAGCTACCTCCAAAACATATAGAGACAATGGTTGTGGACTTGATAGCTGGCTTGTATGATCATTTTCTCCATAGTCTGTTTAGTAGGATATATGACTTTTAATCTGAACTGTTCTTTACAACTAGTGTTAGCGATCATACTCAATTGCATTGGTTGGGAATACAAAATTTTATCACTTTAGCTGAAGTAGTTTGCAAGAGAAATAATTGAGCAAAGCCTAGCCATAATATTCTTCTTCCTTCATTCCCGGCAAACCTTCCCCTCTTTATTTTTCTTTTGACGTAAATATGGTGTCTTATAAATTTTTAGTTCAAATCGATTGGAATTCTTGTGCAGCTTCAAGCTCTGGAAGCCCATCTTTTAATTTGGCTGATTTGTTGTTCCGTTCATCTTCTGTGATCTCCTTGTTTGGAGGTTTCATGGCTGCAAATTGCAAAGTTTTGACTTTTGACCATCACCGTGACTTTAATTTGGTTTTTGGCGAGCTGCATTTGGTAGTATATCTTGGTCCTGTCCTCATTCTTATATATAAAGCTTTAGATTCAAACGACATATATATATATATATATTTCACTTTTTCATCAATCTCTTCATCACGTTGTGGTATTATTGTTAGTAGAAACATTCTAGCATACTTAATACCAATGCTAAGGAAGCACTCATATTGGCTAGTTATTATGTTTTTGGTTTATGGGGGGTGGATCTTTTGGAAGGAAAAAAAAAATATTAGTAAGTAGTCATCGGATTCTGATGGTCAGTTTGTTTTCAAGTACGCATTTAATCAATCAAAGATGTGCCACTTTGGCTTTTATAACTAGGAGTTAGGTTTGCATAAGTATAAAATTTTGACTAATTTTTTTTTTTTTAAATAAATAAATAATTGAAGAAGAAGAAGCCTCAATTACAATTATTCAGGTGTAGGCTACATGAAGGCTTTTTTTGCCAATCAGCTCTATCGAGCACTGTGGCCCCTGTCAATCTTTGGTAATTGTATCCTTTCCCACAGCCTTATCCCACGCTCTTTTATTCACGTTTTTAGGAAAATGATTATGTTGCCTGAATTATCTTTTGCTGTCTTCAACATCAGATGTGCTTCTTTGTTTCCAGCAAAATTGGATCAAGAATATTTGTTTGTGGTTGTCTTTGGAAAATAGAATTGTGGGAAGACCTGCTTTTGGCTTTTCCTCCATCTTGAATCTGAACAACATTAAATTATGTGCATGGTTTTGTGCAACTCAATAAAACTTTCTTTTGATACCCATAGCTGGGGTCTAAGGTTCTTAGTGTCTCATTTTAGGCATAAAATTGAAAGGTGAATTGCTTGAATCATGAGCAGGTTGTCCATCTTTGTTACATTGATTTGGATAATACTCCTAAATTTCAATCAAATCCTTGATTACCCTATTGTCTGCAGCACGCTAATAGCCTTTCCTAGCACTCAATTACTCCAGCATTACATGATTTCATAATTTTGTTAATGATTATAGTTGACATATTTCACATGTATGTAATCATATGTTTTTTAATGATTGTAATTTTTTTTTTTATGTTCTCAGAGCATTTTTCACTTCCTAAAATGTTTCAGGCAGTTGCTGCTGGAACAGTTGTACTACTTTCAGCTCTCATTGTGATATTAATCCATCCAGTGATTGTGTCACCAGCTTTCGCCACATTTCAAACTGCAGTCAAGACGGGGGCTCCGGCTGCAGCCACAGCCGGTGGAAGGCTCATTCATAATGAACTACTAACTAGTGCATGGACCGGTTTCTTTGCCGGTTGCTTACACACGCTATCCGGACCCGACCACCTTGCTGCTTTGGCTCCACTCTCAATTGGCCGCTCTCGAATTGAGAGTGCTGCTGTTGGAGCCCTGTGGGGTTGTGGTCATGATGCCGGACAAGTCATTTTCGGCCTATTATTTCTAATACTAAAAGATCGGCTCCATATTGAAGTTCTAAGAACTTGGGGCACAAGAGTTGTCGGTTTCACTCTACTTGTTATCGGTGCTATGGGAATCAGAGAGGCCTCAGAGGTCCCAACCCCATGTGTTGCCCTAGAAAACGGCGAGTGCGATGTTAGTGTCTATGAATCTCTGGAAAACCCAACAATTGGGAAGAAAAAGAAGATTGGTTTTGCAACTTTTGCCACAGGGATCGTACACGGGCTCCAACCTGATGCACTGATGATGGTCTTGCCTGCACTAGCTCTGCCTTCTCGCTTGGCTGGCGCTGCATTTCTAGGTATGTTCTTGGTTGGGACAGTAATTGCAATGGGAAGTTATACCGTATTTATAGGCTCGTGTAGTCAGGCATTAAAAGAGAGAGTACCTAGAATAACCGAGAAGCTCACATGGGCTTCTTCGCTTGTAGCAATTGCTCTTGGACTAGCTATCATAATTAGCCAGTTTTTCGGGTTTAGCCTATATTGATTTAAGTTTGGCATAGTTTCACTAGTTTACTCGTTAGTGTTTAGGAAAGATTTGGAAAGGGGTTCGTGGATTTGGCTGCAGCTGTGGATCATTGTTACGGTATCTTATGTCGATGAGAATTATCATTGTTATTTATTTGCCTTTGATGGTTGTAATTTTATACACGATGGATACTTGCATCTGAGGAACTCTTTGTAACTTCAATTTACAGTCTGAGTCCAGATTTGTTTACAAATTTGCTCTTATGATCTGGTTTGTGCTCAGCTCATGTATGGATTTAAACTTGCTTAGACTCCCACATAAACTGTGTTGAACTCAGTCAGACTTGATCGACAGTGACATGAACAGTCATAAACTCGATTATTTGGCCATTCTAGTCCTTGTTCCACACCTAGTGGGAGCACTGCTTTTTGAAGCTCTCTCATTGTTCATTGATATTGCAATACTAAACATTAGAGAAGTCAGTTGGATATTTGTTATGCTCTCTTTTCTTTTTCTTTTTTGGTTTAACTTTTAAATTTTGAATTATTGTTGTGATCCTGTGTTAGATTTCGTGTGTCACTTAAATGAAATTTCATGTTTATCTGAAACCAGAAATCCCTTTTTTTGTTTTTTTGTTGACAACAAAAAGAGTACTATTAATTAGTAAAATAAAAAGTAGATGATTGGGGGGGTGGAGGATTTGTCTTTTTACTCTTTTTTTGGTATTAATTGCTCCTTTTAAAGGGGGTTTCTCATTTATTTTTATTATTATTATTTTTTAGGAATTGGAGAGCCATATGTAGGATATGAGCATGTGCTTCTTTTACTTTTCTTATTCGTTCTCTGTGGTGACTTCTTCTCCTCTTGTACTTTTTTTCCCCTCTTTTTAATTAAAATTTTGTTTTTTTTTTTCCTTTTTCTGAGAACTCAAAGGCATAGATGAAAATTTTGTTGGTGCCGACCAAAAATAAAAAATAAAATTACAAGAAAGTGGAAGGAAAGAAGTGAAATCGATTCATAGATTTATATAGAAAATTGGAAAGGAAAATAAAAAATACAAGAGAAACTGAAAAAAAAAATTAATTCTGTGTGTTTGGTTTGAATTTTTTAGATTAAGTTTTTTATTTTTCGTGTTTTTTTGTTTTTAGTAAATATTTTTAAAATTTTTAGTATTTTTTTTTATTTTTTTAGATGATCTTTACTTAGATGTATCTAAAAAATAAAAAATTTGTAAAAAAATATTTTAAAAAATTAATAAATACATAAAAATACAAAAAATATACTAAATTATCATATATATATATATTTAAAATATTAAAAAATTCAGTAAAAAAAAATTAAAAAAAAATAAAATAAAAAAAATAAGAAAGTAGAATTTTCTAAAAAAATATTTTTGAAAAGCCATAAACAAGCAAGCTGATTTATATTCCATTCATATTTCCTTCCTTCAACTTTCACTTTCTAAACCCCTAATTAAATTCAAGAAACAAACCCAATTTCAAAGGATTAAAAAGGGGGTTAAAAACGGAAGAAGCTCAAAAAGAAGACCAATAGCACACTATTACACAAAGAATCAATAGCCCTCAGATTTGTCCCAAAAAAACCCTTAAAATTGTAAGCCAGAGAGATAGAAGCAACTAATAGAAGTTAAAAAAGAGGACAAATAGAACACTATTACATAATGAATCAATACCCTTGAATTTGTCCCCAAAAAAACCTTAAAATTGTAAGCCGGAGAGATAGAAGCAACTAATAGAAAGGGTACTTCTTATCCGGAATCCAAAGCAACACAAATTAAATGATAAACCATCTTCATACTGTCTATGAGACAATGTACAATGGCCCTTCTAGTGCCAAATGACCTAGGCTTTAAAAAAGAAACACAAATAATTATTTTAAACTTGACTATTAGTTAAGATAGAATAGATAATCCAACGGATTCGTAATCCTAAGACTATTAGTCATGGGAATGCTAATCCAATCTGCCCAAACAAACATGGCTGAAGGGTACTTCTTATCCGGAATCCAAAGAAACACAAATTAAATGATAAACCATCTTCATACTGTCTATGAGACAATGTACAATGGCCCTTCTAGTGCCAAATGACCTAGGCTTTAAAAAAGAAACACAAAACCACACTCCCATTGTGACTTATACAAAAAACCATACAGAGTTAAATCTCTTCCTTCCTGTAGCAAGTCAAAACCATTTAGTCACGAACCATAAAACTGAGGGACACAGACACTGCTTGAAGCATGTTCTCTGTTTAACCAGATGACAACTCAATGCAATCAGGATGATAAAACAGTCTGCATCTTTGTGGAAGCAACATTGCCGTGGGGACATTTTCTTTTTCAATATTATGGCTTCTGCTTTTTGTTGATGTCATAATCCACGCATGCATCTGCTGCTGTCTTTATCTGAGAACCATAAAAGGAGTTCCAAGTTAACTCAGTCAAAGTAACTACAGTTATGATACAATACAGTGGAAATAAGAATCCAGAAAAGAATGACTTGTCCACACCAAATTCACCAAATATGACTATAATCCCAAACAAATCTTCTCTATCCTGTCTTGAATCAATCATGAAAAATCAACTTGTGAAGTTCACTTGAAAATTGTAACAACAATCATCATCATAAAAAGAACACCTAACAATTAGACCAGTTTTTGTGAACCCAAGTCTCTATTAATGTAGAATGATATTATGACATTATCATTTTTTAAGTATAATGGACTCATAAGGATTTAGTGACTAATGTTGTTTTTGGATCATGGATTTGAATAGAGATTCAGAACGGGAAAGAAAAAGACGAGAGAAATAGAGAAAAATATTTCATTCACATTTTGCTTTTTTTTTTCCAAATTCCTATCTAAATCTATGATCCAAACACAACCTAAGTAAATTCTTAATGAGACTCCCCATACCATAATCATGAGGAACTAAGATAAAATAAAAGGTTATTTTAGATTATCACATGCATCCCCTACATCGGCTGATAGTGTCGGATGCATCACTGTAAGAGTTTGTTACTCCGTGTTTCAAGATATGGCAATTTAGATGACACATCTCCTACGTTGGCTACTATTAATGCTGAACCAAGCTCTTACCCAACCAAAATCACAGCCATTCTGGAAATTCACAACCCAGTCTAAAAATTAAAAACAAAAAACCAAAAAACCAAAAAAAAAACAAACGAATGGTAGAAAATTAGATAAAAGCATATGATTAGTCAAAGTTTTAATGATTTTTTTTTTCTTTTTTTTTTTGATAAATTAATGAAAAAATTTATTAAGTGTTATTAGAATCAAAAAGCCTATGAAGAAACAATATTCGACACAAGAAAGTGTGTTCTTTATTATCAACCAATTATTAGGCACTAAGAATTTGAGCCTAGTTCAAGTGGTCGTACCCTATGTTACTTGGAACGTAGATCGTTTCAGTACGTGGAATAGAAATGGGAAAGTAGTATGTTACATGCTCTAGATTGTATGTAAATTGTGGTACAATAGGGGTATACTTATATGGTTTGCACTATAAGAATTCAAGGTACTTCTAGTTTAGAGTAATTTTTTTTTTTTTCAACAATTAGAAATCTAATAAAATGTAAGTTATTTTCCAAATTAATCATATAGTAACACATTTTTATTAGCATTATGACCCATTTTTTACAATTTTGTCATGTCAAAAGTTTACTCACCTTAGATTCAGTTCATTATATTTGATATTTTTTACTCCCAAGGAAACCTTAAGAAAATATTATTTGAAAAAAAAAAAAAAAAAAATTATCAATTGCTTTGGATCGCTAAATTAATCATTTTGGAATGAAAGTACACCATATTTCAGTATTTTCTGTTAACATGGGTTGTACCTCTAGGTTTCTAGAGGGAGGGGTATGCCGTTCGAGCTTATGGAGAAGTATCGAATGCCCAGTTGTGCTTAACCTAACTTCTTAACATTTTACCAAGGGTTTTGTAGGAAATGTAGTTGCGGTCATTAGGAAAGGCGATAGGATTATATTAGTTAAACTAGTTATTGAAAAAAATATAGTAAGGCCTTGTTTGGGGACTAGCCGATTTAGCCAAAAAGCCAAAAAGTTACTAACAAGCCAAAAAGCCAACTCCTCATACCAAAAAGTCAAAGTTTTTCTTTTCTCTCTACTTTTTGCACATCTTTTCGTAGAAATTCAAAAAGTCATCCCAAACATACTAGTTTTTTTTAGCTCATATTTTAACTAAATAGCCAAAAAGTTACTAAATTAGCCTGTTCCCAAACGAGGCCTAAATGTTATTAGTGCATACACCCCCCAAGTAAGGATTAGATGATCAGAGTAAGAGATTTTTTAGACCAAATGGAAGAGGTATTATAGGAGATACCCGTTGGAGAAAACCTAATTATAAGTGGAGATTTCAACGGCCATATAGGAATAGATAAACTAGGTTATGAGAAGACACATGGTAGATATGGTTTTGTTGATAGAAATGAGGCTGGAGAGAATATTTTAGATTTTGCGTTGAATTCTGACATGGTGGTGGCCAATACTATGCATAAGAAGAGAGAGAAGTATTTGATAACCTTTAAGAGTGTGTCAATTAGAAGCTAAATAGATTACTTTTTAGTAAAAAAAATGGACTATCTAAAATGCAGCAACTATAAGGTGATTCTTGGAGAGAGTCTAACGTCTCAACATAAGATTTTGGTACTAGATTTATGCTTTAAAGGACAATACCAAGTTAGGAAGAATAGTGGGCGTCGTAGGACAAGATGGTGGGACCCAAATGAGACAAACTATAAATATTTAAGAATATAATGGATAAAGAAAGTACCTGGGACTTGGAAGATGATGCTAACACTATGTGGAATTCGATGGCCAATTATCGATGGCCAATTATATGAGGAGAATTTCAAGGGAAGTTCTTGGAGAGTCAAAAGGAAAGGGACCCAACTCTAAGGAAACTTGGTGGCAGGGGATAGGAATGGCAACGGGGCGGGGCGGGGCGGGGCGGGGGATCACACTACCCTCCTCGTCCCCGATCCCCGACAGCTCAAAAATCCCCGTCCCCGCCCCCGATCCCCGGCGGGGGAACCCATCAACTCCCCGTCCCCGTCCCCTAACGGGGATCGGGTTTCCCCGACCCCGAAAAATCCCCGAGTTTTATTTTGAATTTTGTTCAACACAACAACAAAACAATATATATCACTATGTTTCATCATCATCAACAAATCAACACAGACCAGATCACACACAGATTTAATACAGGAAAAAAAAATTAATCTGAAAAAAAAAATGTTTTCAACAACAATATGTTTCATCATCATCAACAAATCAAAAAAATTTAATCTGAAAAAAAAAATATCTATTTTCAACAACAATACGAGAGAGACAGATTTGAGTACACAGATCAGATCACAGAGAGAGAGAGAGAGACAGAGAGCTAACAGATCTAACAAATCTGAGTTCAGATCTAACAGATTTGAGTGAGATCGACAGTGGCTGGCTGGCTGGCTTCGGTGGTGGTGACAGAGACAGACCTGCGGCGGTGGCTTCGGTGGTGGAGAGAGACAGACCTGCGGCGGTGGCTTCGGTGGTGGTGAGAGACAGACCTGCGGCGGTGGCGGTGGCCATGAGGAATAAAAAGAGACAGAGAGGTGAGATGAGAGGTTATGTGTTTTAGGGTTTGATATATATATATATATAGGGATAGAATAGTAATTTTATATCGGAGAAACGGGGCCGGGGCCGGGTACGGGGCTGAGACACTTATCCCCGTCCCCGGCCCGAAACTGATCGGGGATTAATTTTTGAATACCATCCCCTCCCCGTTGGGGATATTTTTCGGGAAAAAACCAATCAAATCGGGGTCGGGAGGTCGGGTCCCCGTCGGGCCGGGTTTAAATTGCTATCCCTAGCGGGGGGAGGAGATTCAAACGGTAGTAAAAACGAAAAAAAAATGATTTAAAAGGTGACAATAGAACTAAGGAAAATCTTAAGAGCTACAGATTGGCTAATAAGGAGGTCAAAAAAGTAGTGAGAGAAACTAACTCGAAAGCTTATGATGATCTATACACTAAACTAGATAGTACGGAGAGAGAGAGAAAAATATACAAACTTGTTAAGATAAGAGAGGAAAACAAAAGATTTTAATCAAGTTAAGTGTATCAAAAGTGAGGACTTTAAGGTGTTGGTGAAAGATGAAGAGATTAAGGAGAAGTGGAAGAACTATTTTGAGAAGTTGTTAAATAAGGAACATAGGGGAAGGTCAAAAGGGGAGGAAGTAGCCAGTAATAAGGAAAATCAAGACTATAGGATCTATCGCAAGATTAAGAACTTTGAAGTGGAGATTGCACACTAAGAATATGAAATCAAATAAGGCTTGATATCCCTATTGAAGCTTGGAAATATTTGGGTAAAAATAGCGTTGCTTGGTTGACTAGGTTATTTAACAAGATTTTGTTGACTAGGAAAATGCCAGAGGAGTGGAGGAAGAGTATTTTAGTGACAAGCTATAAGAATAAAGGAGATGCCCAGAATTGCAACTATAGAGGAATTAAGCTGATGTGTCTTATAATAAAAGTGTGGGAGAGAGTGATGGAACGTTGATTGCGAGATATAACAGAGATGTCAAAGAATCAATTTGGATTTATGCCTATAGGTCAACAATAGAAGCGATCTATCTTTTGAGGAGAGTAATAGAAAAGTGTAAAGAAAAGAAAAGAGACACTCATATTGTTTTCATCGATCTTGAGAAAGTATATGATAAAGTGCCTTGAGATATAATATTGTGGGTGTTAGAGAAGAAATGGGTGACAAAAGGTTACATTGATGTGATTAGGGACATGTATGAAGGTGTGGTGACCACTATTAGATCGCCTGCTGAAGAGACAAGTGAATTTTCAATTACTGTAGGGTTACACCACGGATCAACCTTAAGTCCTTATATTTTTGCTTTAGCTATGGATAAGTTGATGAGAAATATTCAGGATAATGTGCCATGATGTATACTTTTTGCAGATGATATCGTATTAGTGAATGAGACTAAAGAATGAGTTAACATTAAGTTTGAGACTTGGGAGAGAAGTACTTGAATCTAAACAATTTTAGATAGGCAGAACTAAGACAAAGCACATGAAGTGTAATTGTAGTAACAGTAACAATAGAAACAGATGAGAAGTGAAGATTGAAAACTAAGAACTACCTAAGAGTGAATATTTTTATTATTTATGATCGATTATCACAACAGCTGGGGAGATTGGAATGGATATGGCCCATAGAATTAAGGCGGGGTGACTTAAACACTAGACTAAAAGAAAAGTTCTATAGAATGGCTATTAGATCAGGGATGTTGTATGGGACAGAATGTTAGCCAACTAAGAAATAACATGTAGATAAGATGAGTGTTACTGAGATGAAAATACTAAGGTATATGCATGGCAAGACTAGAAAAGACAGAGTTAAGAATAAACATATTCGTGACTGGGTAGGAGTAATAAATAGAGATATGAATCTCCTTAATTTGACTAACCAAATAGCCGTTGATAGAGTCAAGTGAAGAAGAAGGATTCATGTAGATAGGACTTAAGGCTTAGTTTGGTTTGGTTACATTCCTTAATACTTACAACAGTCACTAGCAAATGTTTATTACAAAGAATCTTGACATAAACAAGCATCAAAAGCATATGCACAAATCTAACATATGAATACAAACTTACAAATTTATATACAAAATATAACATGAAAAATTAAGCTCACATCAGCCTATTGTAGGAATTTAAACTAATATGTGATACATTTAATTAGGTAGGTTAAGTAAAGCAGCACTTTTTACCTGTATAACATTTACTGCTTGCTTGATAGCCCATCCAACCACAAGTAAAACAAGTAGAACAGAAAGAACTGAGTTCTGTTTTGTAGCATCCATTATAACCTAAAACAACAGAATAAAACCAAATAACCCGGGTAAATCCTCACAAGTCACAACATTCACGCAGAAACATTAACACACTCAACCAAATGAAGCCTCACATTTTTCAGATTCTCATTCTGGTTCTTCGCAAGAAGAAATAGAATAATGTAAAGAACCTGCAGAGCAAAGCCACTCAGACTAAGAGAAAATAGCATAGACATGAAAGAATTGTCTTAACCATAAAGGTAATCCAAAGAAACATTCACCTCACAAGCAACACAACAGTAGCACATAAATATCCGATTGCCGTAGTATGCCTTGAATAGCCAATTAGTACTGTCTTTTACATCTTTATGACTCACTTTGCCTACCAAGAAAGTACTGCAATGAAGAAGTGGGGAAGGGGGAAAAAAATAATGATTCATCAGAAGTTCTCTGGAAAATAGACTTGTAACATCAAATTGCCAGATCCATTCAAGCTTATTCAGATATACAATATAACATGAAAAATATAAACTCATATGTCAAAATACCTGTACATCTGCAACCAATGGCTGGCAATATCCAAAGCAAGCAATGACAAGAAAACTAGGCCAGGCCTGGAAAATATCACGTAGACAACCTCAAAAACACATAATAAATCAAGGTGCAGTTACTACAAAAACAGGGTAGAGTAAATTCTACCTATATATTTGGGAGAGAATTACCAGTAGACAAGTAGTGCTAATCCTGAAACACAAGACATTGTGATCAAAACAGTCAAACTAGAAAATGGAATAATTGAGGATATTTATAATAAAAACACTACAGAAGATGATGAAGGAAAATTGTCCCCTTTTTTTTCTTCTTCTTCTTTTTTTTTTTTTTTTTTTTTTTTTTTTCTTTCTTTAATGTAGACCAAAGGGCATAGCTTGGAGACGACCGTTTTTGACCGTTATTGTCTGAATAGAAGACTAAAACTGCTCCAAAGGTCGAAACTGGAAATAAGAGGAGAAAGGGGGAAATGTAAATCAAATTACCCATTAATATTTATGAAATTGCAAAAAAACCCTAAATTATAGCAGTTCAGCAATAGTATGCAACCTTGCTATCAAACAAGATGTATAGTCCAGCTGACAGTCATTTCAGTAACAACTTCAAATTCTCTAAAACAAGAAAATTTCTGTTAATTTACTAAGATTTCTAGAGAAAAACTCTTCTACTGCTTATCAATAACTAAAATGTGTATTGAGTACATTAGGTTTCAGGAAGGACACACACAGAGGAAGAGATCACATAGTCCATTCTAAAACATAGGCATTAGAATGAGGGGAGGGGAAAGAAACAAGCAAATAAAATTATTAGAGCAAAAATTTTAGAGTCGTATAGATAATAAATAGTTTTAGTGCTCCATTTCATATATAAAGTAACTAGTCATTCCTGTTTTGCTTCAAGCCATGCATCTTATGTAAATAAAGAAACCCAGCGTTTGCAACTCGTATTATCAGGAAGTTATCCCATCTAATTGGGACTAGACACTGAAGTAACGTATAGCTGATCCTGATAGAACTAACGAATTCAAATTCGTACCTTGATTGAATTTGCGAGCAAACCAACCATCCAAGGCATCACAGACAAAGCTGAAACCACACATTAAAGCATTCAACACTTTAACCTCTACACACAATTAGGGGCTACAAAAACCATTATGAACAAAAAATAATACATAATACATAAACAAATAAAATATGTTATCACCTAACAAAATAGAGAACCGAGAAAAGCTTTTTGTCTGAAAAGCAAATGTAGAAGGCAAAGCAGTTCATAAGAACTCTTATGTATCCTGCATACACATAGAAGTATAAAAGAATTAAATGAAGCAAATGGAAGAATATGATATGTGAGTAACCAACCATAGAAAATAATTCTAATGAATCATGCATTCCCATATAAAGGGCATCTCCAATCCTTGGCTGAAACCCATAACAAATTTAAATTTGGATGAAAATCACTCAAAAACACTCTCCACTCCATAACCCAAACTTATATCAAAACTAAGTTTTACTCGAATTTTCACTCAAAGACTCAAATGTTTACTCAAATTTTCAAGGCTATTTTTTGTGGCTCTCAAATTTACCTCTGTCATTAGTAAAGCTTTCACTCAAATGTATGCTTAAACCTGAGTTTGTCCATTGGAGTGGTTCATATATCAAATAAAGCCTTCAGAGTTGGCTTAACTATTAGGCTACTTAGGCGGTTGCCTAAGACCTTATAAAAAAAATTCAAAAAATTATATTATTGTCGAAAGCCCCAATTTTCCAAAGACTCATTTTAATGTTTGGTTTGACGCCTCTAGAAACCTCGAGCTGCTACTGAAAGCTTTTAAAGAAATTAGGATATGGCTTGAGCATGACTTGACATGAAAATGTGATATACCTACCCATCTAAGCATTAATAACCCAAAAGTGGCAAGATGCAAACCGAATATACAAGTAATAATATATTTGCAGAATAGCAACAAGAATAGAATTACATTTAATTTGTTGCATACCCATATAAGCATACCCATGAAATGATTCTATATAATTTGTTGCATACCCGTGAAATGAATTTATGGACACATAATACAAAATCAAATGGCAATGCTATACTGTAGTGTTATGCAATCAATACCAATTTTGAAAGGGAAGAGAAAAATAGCAATCTTAAAACACAATGCTGTGCCCTAACTGGTAAAGAAGAAGAGAGTAAACTGGAAACCCACCAATGATGTTGGGAATGTAAAGGTACACAGATAATTTCCTTGGTCTCGAATTCTTGGCCATTGAATAAATCTCTCTCCCACCGATCAAAACTGCATTGAACAACCCACAAAAACTCTCAAAATCTCAATCGATTTGCATATACGAAAGTCCCAAATCAATTTACCAATAATATACATACATATATATATGCGTAGAAAGAGAGAGAAGAGAGAGAGAAAGAGTGGCCGGTGACCCAAAGCCTTGCCTCACTGACGGGCAGATTGAGCTCCTGGCAACTTTGTTGCAGGGAGTTTTGGGGGCGTTTGTTTTTTCTTTTCAGCATTAACCCTGCAAGCCCCCGTTTGCTACAACTATGAGAAATTAATTATAGATTATAAATTATAATTTATAACTGTGAATATGAATTGATAACTTTAGTGTAGGGGTTATAAATTTAAGCAATAGAGTAGTATTTGATAAATAAATTATAAAATAACTTTTTATTGTGTAATTATTGTTTTCTCTTATGAATATAAAAATTATAAATTTGTCATTTTCTTCGCTCTAAATTTTGAAAAAGTTATTTCATTAATGGAAGCTGATATAATTAGTACCTAATTTGGTATATTTTTCCGTTACTTTGATTTTTTTTATTTTTTTTAATATTGAGTTCACAAGAAAACAAAAAATGTCATTGCAATAAAAATGTCATTTTTTTTTTAACATTGAGTTCAGAAGAGAAGCCTAGCCCTTACTCATAATTTTTTTGATTATACCTCATATTATATTTAATTATGATATTTTTTCTTTTTTTTCAATTATGGTTTAAAAAATTAAAATTCATTTTTTTTAATTATAAGATATATATGGTTCATACATAACATTTCCTCTTCTTATTTATACTTCATGAACACAACACAACACAACACAACACAACACACACATATCAGAAATGGGTCCTTACCAAAATCTGTAGAGAGAGAGATGAGAGAGAGAAAGAAACCTGAAGGGCGACCAATGGTAGCAAGCCAGGAAGTTCTACAGAGAGAGGCTTCAAAACCATCCCTAATAAGCCTCAGGACAATCCATGTTGATGCTAAGTCCAAAAACATGCAGCACCATTAACAGGTACCAAGCTATTATATCAATCAATGTTGTTATCCAGCAAGCTAGCAGATTGGGTTACGATAACAGCACAAGTCCAAAGTAGTGGTTGGATTTCAGATTTGATAACAGCACAAGTCCAAAAACACATTAACAACCCATTTTTTTTATAAATTTTTTCAGAGTTCTATAAGCAACTATAAGTTTTTTATTATACTTTTTACCTAACCTCAATCAATGAATATCACAACCCAGTTTTTTATTATACTTTTTACTTAACCTTAATGAATGAATATCATAACCCAAGTCAACTCACATAATTATAAACTCTTTATTAGCAAGATTCTTATATGAAAACATAGCCAAAGTGAATAATAAAAAAAAGAACTTGCAAATTGGCACTACAATGTAAATGCCATATATCCAAATTCCTCTCTATCAAGAGACCTAAATGCCTTACTGTAAGTAAGGGTGCACTACATCATCTAAGCTAGGTTCTCTGTAAAGCTCCACAGAAATAAATTACAAAGTAGTCTCCAAATATCCTCATACATGTCTTTAAACTTTTACTACTTGCCCAGCCAAGTGACATCACTCGAAGCAATTCTATTGCAAAAGAAATAGTGTCGCTCAGTTTTAGTTTCAATCTATCAAAGGTTCACTAAGCCAATTTAATTGATATATAGGCAACAATCAAAAAACAAAACACAATAAACACAAATTAGAAAATATAGGCATCCACAATTGGCATTTGGCCTACTTGAAAAAAATTATAATGCTTTCTCTGTGTGAGGAAGTGTCTCATCAAAGTCAAATTGTTTACCAACAAGACTTGTATTAGACTATTTAAGGATGCAATCTAAGACTTAAATTTACCTTGTTTGTGATGTCAGAAATTTTCTGCAGTGAACTAAAGCAACAATCACAACTCAAACAAAAGTACTTAAAGGAGAAACTAGTTAAACAACAATAATAAAGTCAAATCAAACTGAAAAATCAACCACAGAGGAGCATTATCGGAATCAAAGAAACCTATAGTAACATTAGACAATCAATCAAACCAACAAACCTCAAAAAATATCATTCTCTTAAAGATTTTCCCTTCAACTGAACTTTTAAACAAAGGAAAAATGCATTTGAAGAACAAATACTATGGTAACTGAAGTCTCTTTAAATGGAACAATAATAACATGGCATTAAAAGTGTTTCAGAGCATCTAGATTATCAAAGGTCACCAGCTCTTCACTAGAACTTGTTGACAGAGTCTCTCTCTCTCTCTCTTTGATAAATAAAGTTGTGAATTGAGTCTCAGAAATTAAATATCTTGGAAATTCAGCAACAGACTCACTTAAATAACATATTGAGCAACTCTTTCCATGGCACTTAATAACCTGAACTCGTATTTGATGACGTAACCTTAAGCAAAAACATAGTACTAGTGTTTTACCATTTCTTTATTCGATTTATTTTATTTTGTTTATATACTAGCATTTCAAGATTTCAGTCATTAGGATCTTATTTAGCATTTCAATATTTCATCCAAGTAAATTTTGATCATATCACAAGCCTTAAGTTAAGAAAAGTGTGAATACAAAGCCTTTCGCAAGCCTTGTTTGCCAACCAAACAAAAATTAAACAGAAATATTGTGGCCAACCAAACAGAAATTAAACAAAACAAAAATTAAATATTGTCACAAGCCTTGAAGATTAGGGTTTGTAGCTTGGTTGGTTGATTTTGAACATGGAATAGATCACCCAAAAATCAGAGAGAGAAGGGAAAGAGAGAGAGAAAGAGAGATAGAGACAGGGAGAAAGAGACAAACTGGATGCGTGTGTATATATATATGTATATATAACAAACAAAGGGCATGAAATCTTACATTTTTGGTGCAGATCAACGGAAAATAGGGAGGAAAGGAGTTCGATCTTCCAGATGTGGCGGAGTTCTTGTCGTCGTCGTCGCTAAAGAGGAAACCAGAAAAGGAGAGGAGAGGTGTGAGGGAGAGAAGCTTGGTAGGGCAACAGATGGGGGTTTATATAGTGGCAATTTCGTAATATTTCAAGTTTTGAAGGGGCATTTTAGTCATTTCAGCCCCCAAACCCAGCTGCCTAAGCTGTTTGCATAAGCATCTCCCGAGTTGCTTCCCTCCAAAGCTGAAAATAGATTACAAATAAGCTATAATTTCATAATTTAAGTTATGCCAAACACATATTTATTGTCACGACCCAAACCCGCCCTTATAGGTTAAGGCCATAACCGGTCAGTAATCACGAGATTACCTACGGCCTCAAACCAAATAAGACAAAACTCATCAGAGTAAAGAGGCCAAACGGAAGCAAATTTAAAACTTTATTCATATAGCCGTGCTTATATGCACATCATAACATTCCACATTTACATATGTTAATAACTCACAACAGAAAGTATAGTAGCATAAGGTTCTGTACAGACAGAATCATTCAAATCTAAGTCAGCCAAACAAAACTATACACAGACGTATACTGAAGTCCTCGCCAACATGACAAAATACACAGAAAGGCAAAAGGGCGAAGACGTGTCTCGTTCGTGAGACGCAAGGGCTGACTCTTCAAAACTTTGGTTGTTCCATACAAACTTCACTGAGGTTGGGTCTGGACCTCTCTTGGCTCACCTACAAACACGTGAATGAGCGTGAGCGAAAGCCCAGTGAATAATATCAAATAAGGATATACATTGGAACAATATACGTCAAACGACATTGGGCCTAATTTATATTTCTAACTAATACATATATACATAGACATATGTAGGTTAAGTAACTGCGGTTCTAAACACATCATACAACTTCGGGCCCAATTCATTAGTATCATTCAGGTCAAACTAGCCTTTGGCCCATTCGTACTTTCGTTCACGTCGGACTGGCCTTTGGCCCATTTAAATGACAAACTGTCGTTCGTGTCAAGCTGCCATTCGTGTCAAACTATCATTCATGTTAAACTGTTATTCATGCCGAACTATCATTCGTGTCAGACTGTTATTCGTGTCAAACTATCATTCGTGTCAGACTGTTATTCGTGTCAAATTGTTACTCGTGTCGAACTGTTATTCGTAGCAAACTGGCCTTTGGCCCATTCATTTATTCATGTCGAAACAGCCTCTGGCCCATTAATTCACGTCAAAACGACCTCTAGCCCATTTATTCATGTCAAAACGGCCTCTGGCCCATTCATTCGTGTCAAAACGGCCTCTGGCCCATCCATTCATTATTGTCAAAACGGCCTCCGGCCCATTCATTTGGTATAGCAAACATTGTCCACCAATCGGATCAATGAACTTATAAAACTTACATAGAAGTAAGCAATTGGACAACAACATATTTCAGATATCTCTGTTAAGATATTACTCACAGTGATCGGCTGATTGATTTGCTCTGGAGCTTGACCTTACACATCATATAACACATATGGGTCCCAACCAATTCAATCCATTCTTAATTCACATATTCCTTTTTAGGCTTAATTCTTATTCTTCTAACTCATTTACAATGCTCAATGTATGCCTAAGAGTACTTAGAAGTGAAAGGGAACAGAAAACGGAACACAATGCATTTTCAAAATTTCAGAAAATAGGGTCCCCGCTCGAGTGTGGACTTTCCCGCTCGAGCGGACCCATGAGGCCTGCAAAAGTACTAGCTATGTCAAATTTACACTCGAGCATGAAGTCGGGCGCTCGAGCTGAAGGCCTCACTACATGGCTCCCCGCTCGAGCGGACATCCAAGTCTGCAAAAATACTGGGAGCACGAATTTCACGCTCGAGCGGCGGTTTCCCTGCTCGAGCGGACATCTAATTTTCTGGGTTTTCCAGAACATGTTCTTGAGTTCCAATTCGGCATTCAATGGTTCTAGATGCATGCTTTTGGCTCAAACTTCACATAATCATATACTAACATGGTACCAACATCAAATTACAACACAATGAAGCTCAATTTCACAAATTAATCACATGCATGTCTCAAATTAACCCAAATTCATCACCAACACACTAGATTCAAACATGCAAGACTCAAACTCCCATGATTTGCACTTGCATGTGAAATATACACAATATCCTCAACTTAATTGGTGAAGAGATGATCAAATATATGGACTTAAACCAAAAACCCAACATAGATCATGCATATTGTGCTCAAACATGGAAATTCATAGTAATTTCTTACATGCATGCATCTATTGACTTTAAATTCAACAAATACAACTCAATTTCCTTATAATCAAACTAATT